AAAAAAACGATAAATTAATAGATATTGGATTTTCAAATTTCTCTGAAAAAAAGTTTATCTAGCCCCAAAAAAAAAATTTGTATAGTATATAAAATATTATATTGAAATGAGGTTAGGTTAGATTGGCTGCCAAAACTGTTTAATGGCCAATTATAGTCCTGAACGGGACCTTTTAAACGACATAGAGATTTAAAAAATCGGATATCAAATAAGAAAGTTATAGCAAAAAACGCGATTTAGCGGTTTTAGCGGGTGCAGAAAAAAAAAAATGTGTACACCCAAAATTTTTTTCTCGGCTTGAGAATAAATAGCAATAGGCCGTCCTGGCCTTACCAACGCAGAATAGGCCTGAAAGTCACAAGAAAGTTAGTTATGTAAGTCATTCAAAATTATTACTCCAAAAATTTTACACCAAAGAGTGCACTAAATTTAATCAGCCATATCGCCAATTCCATGTGAATAAATCGTTCCCATAATTTAGCCTGCAAAACAAAAACAAATTGGGAACCATTGTTTTTGTTTTGCTTTATAATTTTTTGGGAATATTTGTTCATGTGAAATTCGCAATAGGACCGAATGCTTTTTATTTATAATGCGGCGTTCTCTTTTCCCATTTCCTTCGTGTTTTCAAAAAAAACACAACCTTGAGTTAAGGAAGCGTCACCGTTTATTATTGTATCATGAGTGCATTCTTAGTAAAGGTCTGCATCGGAATTCAGTTTGCTTCACTGTGAAGTTTTTTTCAAATATGTAAACTACTCACACTTTAACAAAGAGGGCATGGAAGGAAGAGAAGTGAAAATTTTGAGCATGATAAAAACATAGCAAGGTAGAACCGTTCTCTCAATTTGTCGGCCATGATTTTTTTTTTGAAGTTTGCCAACATTTTAAAATCATATAAAAGTGAAAATAAAAAATTGAAATTGTTCGAAATTGTTGTTGCTTGAGATTGAAAATGAAATTGTGTGTGTGAGTTTGTGAGTAAATTTAAAAATTAAATTGTTTGGAAACGTCAAGAATGTTAAAAATGACTCTCAGCGGTTCTACCTTACTATATTTTTATCATGATTTTGAGCACTGTATACATGAAAAAAGTACTCAAACAAAATATGTTCCGAAAAAAAGAAAAACATAAACAAGCAGTACTATGGTGCTAAACTTCCACAAAAAATATGTTCCTTCACAAGTATTTTTTGAGTATTTTTGGAAGTTTTCGTTTAATAAATACTACATAATGTTAACAGACATGGAAAAACAATGTAGGGAATTATCAAGGCTAATACCCAGCTAGCCCAATGCCGAGCGAGAGACAAAAGGGACTCCCACAGCAACACCTCGAAGGAGCGTTTTAAAATATGAGATGAATAAGCATTCCATATGGGTTATCTGCGGATGACCTGTTAAAGAAGAAACGTAATTTTTTACCAAACTGCTTCACCTTCCAAGGATGGTCATAGGCCAATAACAAATTCGATATATCAAGGGCGCGTGCGTGTTTGCGGTAGAGCTTTGGAATTTGGTTGAGTGATATATGAAGACAAACCCAAACTTTCGAACCTGACACTATGGAGGTTAACGGACCTCTGATTCGGGTTCTAAAACCCCACATATATGAATTTTCAGGTTTATTCAATGCATGTTTCCCTGATTGACGTTCAACTGACCACGAACCTGACGTGATAGAGGCTAACGGACCTCGGATTCGCATTCAGCCTGTCGAATAACATAGGGTTTGGTTTAATATGCATACACTTTTTTTGTAAACCTGTGTAATTTTTATCAATATTCGTTTATAATTAAAACATTTTTCTTTTATATTTTACTCACTTCTTTAAGATAATTTTTCTGCGGATCACACGAACGAGAGTTCAAATAATACCCAATGCAAAATGTTAGCTAAACCCTAGTTGCGCGAAACAATAAAATAAGCCCCCTTTCTTCAACGAATCAAATTCGACAATGAAAATAAAATTTATGAATTTTCTTAACATTATGTTAAATGATAACATTTTGAAAGAAAAAACTTCATAAGTATTCGTATACTTCCTATGAAGTTTTCAAATACTGCTGAATTCAATCAACATACTCATGGTGCATTTACATGGTATGAATCTGTTTATAAGCCGTATGAATTTTCCTATAAAAGAAGCACCAACTCTATGAAGAAATGAATGAAAGCGATATATATTTAACAATTTTGACTTGTATACTAGACAATATTTTTTTTGTAAACAACAAATAAAAAAAATTTATTTTGTGCTAGCTTCGAAACTAGAAGCTTATTTTTTTGTTAAATGTGCTTTAAAAAGGACCTACTGCCAAAAAAGCCTTGTGGATTGCTATTTTTCCATATTTGTAATGCTTCCATTTAAACATCTTTGTGGAAAAACAGTTTTTTGTTCAGAATTGCTTGTTTACGAAACGTTTGGCATAACTTGAAATTATAGGGATGCCGTTTTCTTCCGTTTCTCAGTGGATTTTATACTTGAAAAGGCACCAAAATATGTATGCAATACTTCTACATATCTTCGTTTAAAGCACAAAACCGCGCATCAAGGAAATGCAAAACCTCGTATGGGAGGTTGCCTAAATTTTATAGGAGAGAGTGAAACTGGTCCCAATTTAAAACGGTTCTCTCTTTTAAACTTAATAATCTTCTCTCCTTATGTCTAAGTCGATATTTTATTATATCGATATTTTATTATAAATGGCTAAGGGCTTGATGTCAGGAGCTTCCGATGACCAAATATCTTTTTTGGCACAAATTTCACTTCCGAGGTTTTGCAGAACCACGATACGCGCTTTTGTACTTTAAACGACGAATATGTATATCGCTTGAACAATATGTTAGTGTTTGGCCTAGCTTCTCCTCCGATATGCGGCGTGCGTGATTTTGTCACACAAAGTAAAGGACAGTTTTACGCCGACTCCGAACGGCAATTGTATTTTAATGAGAAGTTGTTTCCATGACAGAATACACTCGGAGGTTTACTATTACCAACAGAGGGGCAATCACTATTAGAAAAACTGGGCTTGAACTCAGGCTCTGCGTAATGCTCTACAGCAGCCGCCACTACTTTTACATATATTGCTGGTATATTCAAAATACTATCCCGAACTTCAGAGTGTATATATGTAATATAAAAAAGAATGAGAGGTACTATAAGAAAATGTACCCAAAATTCTGGAGCAAATGAAAAAATGCTCATTGAAAATAGTTCACATGTGTAAATTGAAAGATATAACTTAATAGGTTACAGCGCTAAACAAAAGGAAAAGTTCGAAAAAATAGCAATGCGGTTTGAAGGAAACATGAAGCCATAAAATGCTGGTTTGTTTCGTTAATACTCTGAACTTTGTAAGATATGGCACTCTATTATTTGCAGTAGTTTGCAAATATTCACTAATGGTTCTAAAATCGCAAACATTTTCGTGGGATGTTTTTGTTTGATTTCGAATTGAAAATACATTACGATCATATTGTACCGAAATAAGTGCGGTATCCCTGCATTTTTGTAAAAGCCAGAAAGAAGCATAAACTGTATGAAAAAATGAAAGGGAGAAGTATACATGCCTTCTATAATTTTGACTTATATGTATATTTGGCAAGTCTTGTGTAAACAACCAAAAATACAAATTTTCATTTCTTTGCCAGCTTGGGAAATATAGGCTTATTTTTACTTAAACGTGATATAAAGCTCATTAAAATGTTCTGTAATGTCTTGTTGTAAGTTTGTTATCACAGTTCTTCGTATTTTTATTGTCCACTAAACGTGAGTGGCTTCAATTTAAAAATTCTAGTACAAAGAATTTCTTTGTTTTGAATTTGTTTGTTTATTGTTTTTAATTTTTAAAATTCATACTTTTGACATGAATGTGAATGGCGGAGTTGCCGCTTTCCTCCTTTTCGGTGGGTTTTTATATTAAAAAGGCATCAAAATGGGAAAAACCCCCCTTGGTATCTCTGCTTCTGTTAAACTTTTTATGGGAAGATGTATGAAAATTCAACTTGCTATAATTTCATATGCTTAACAGTATCACAACAGTATGTTTACAGTATCTCCCCATAACTTTTCATATGAAAAAATTTATTATATGCATCCCACTCGATATCATTGAATTCCTCATTAGAACATGTAGTCCCTCTATTTTAGCGTATCAACAGTTCATAGGCTTCATACCATGTAAATGCGCCATCAAGTGTTTTGGAAAAGCGGAACAGTGTTTTATGTAGCAGAGCACTGTTGAGTAACATTGCTCAGTTATTCAAATTTATGATGTTCTCTTTTTTTCTTCCTATCTTTTTTAGTACTCTAAAATTTATGTTCCATTTACTCATGTACACATGTGAAGAGTATTTCTGCTGGTATATTTGCAGACCTTTAATTCTTACTATCAGTTTATTTCAAAAATATAATTTTTTCCTTTGTTTAATATAATATTATCTTTTCATTTGGATGATTTACATTGTTCCTTCGTGTCTTAGCTAAAATTTGATTTTATCAAAGTGAAATTAAGTTTTCTCACACAACTTTTACTGATGTCCTATACTATTTCTACGCTCTTCTACAAAACGATTAAAACGAATTTAAGTACTTTTTCATCTTAAGCATAGCATTTTTGCTTGTATTCTTCTGAGTTTTTACGGCTTCAGAAAGCAATATCAAATTGTAAACCCTAGTTCATGCTTGGCTGCAACTGAAAATCGATCTTAGTTACGCAAACATCCATGAAAATGATGTGGACGTATTAACTGCGAGGTTTAAATGAAGTTTTACTCGAGATGGTCATGGTGGAAAACACAGCATTACTGATACACTTATCTAAATGTGAAATTGTTTTTGCTAAATTCCTAAAAAAAAACTAAAACCTGTAGGCGAAGGGCCAGCAATTTTAGATAAACGGCTTTAAAGTTTTGAATTTACATATTTTCATTAATTTGAGTACATACATATTTTGTTCTAGTGAGCTACTGGTAATCGATACAGCTGTCAAATCTTTACACAACATAGAGGAAGCGGTAGCAGGAACATCTGCATTCTCAACTCGAAATTAAGTTTTTTTTTTTTGATTATGGCACTATTTAAGTGAATGAGCCATATCGTCGATGTTTTTGCAAAACCGCCCATCGACCAATTGCAAAACGGCCTATCTTACAGCACTCAAACTTTACTGCAGAGCGAAAAAACGGGGTTTCTTTGAAGGCATTGCCTTGATAGGCGGTATTTTCTCTAGCTATTATTTTACAAATCTCTATCGTTTTAATAACGATCTTACGATTTTTATGCATACATCTCGATGCCTGGAGTTCAGGGTTACCAAATCTCATTTTTGCCACAACGGCGATTTGGGCGGTTTTTCAAAAACATCGACGATATGTATGTACATTAGAAAGTTCACCGTTACCCCTGAGTCTCAAAGTATTTTTGCAAGGCAATTTGGAAAAAAAATGTTTCCCAAATCTAGGGGTCGACTATAAATGTCGAAGATATGACAAAAAATATAGAACCCAAAAAATATTAGGTTGACCCAAGAAAATTAATAATAATACCGTCTGTGTTGGGTACTATCTCCTTAAAAGTTCAGTTATGCAAGACATAAACTTCACTTGATTTACCTAGAAACTTAGAAGCGATTACTCTTCGTGTCGTCTATTGATTTTTCTCTTTTTTTATCCTCAGCATTTGTATTTGTACACGCAAAATGGTAGACGTTTAATTTGTTTGGTTTTGCACTTAGAAACTTAACTTCGAAATCAAAAATCTATAGTTCTCCAAGTTTCTAAGTGAAGTTGTTTTTTTTTTTTTTGTAACTACATACACGCGCTGCTCATTTGCCAGATATACAGTCAAGTCAAGTCTAAAAGCGTAAACAGACGACAGCTTTGATCCGGATCAACTCGTTAATTCGGAATTATCTCAGGAATTAACTGCAGATGATCCGGATTAATGCCTAGAGTTAATTCCCAAACTTAACTCGGATCAATGGAATATTCGATGACAACACTGACCGAAAATCAGAGAGCGTAGAATACAGAAAGAGCAAAACTAGCATGGACACAACCCCTTTTCATCGGTATTGCAGTCACCATACTAATTCAGATAGGAATCCAATTAAATGAATATTGTACTAGCCGTGGGATTCGAACCTACGACCTCGCGGCTCGTAAATCCGCATTACTGCCGTCTGTCAAGGCACAATTTTGATCAGATCAATTGCACCGTTAATCCGGATCAACGTTGCCGTCTGTCTTGCATAACTGAGCTTTAAGTCCAGTTTATGGAAAAAACTATTCACAATACCTTTCTAGAGACCTTTTAAATTATTCAATTACACCTCGTTCTTTGCCACTTTTATCACAGCAAGAAGAGGCGGAGCAACATCAAATATATGGCTTGACTCGTAAATTTTGCAAACCAATCAACTCCAAAAAATTGTCTATAATTTAGGCAATTGTTTTTGCAGCTCTTGTGATGCAAATCCAGCATAATTTTACTATAATTACAAAAAATCAGCAGAAGAATGTTCCTGAGTTCTAAGAAGGGCCATATTTTTATGAATTTTTACACATTTTAATATCTGAAATTTTTGGTCAATTGTTCAAAAATATGTACATATGTCATCGTGTAATAACTAGACACGGGCCTAGTTGTTCCGGCCTGGCCCTTCCTGCGTGTAGAATACATCTTTGAAAATACGCCGGGCTAGTTTTCTTAAAACAAGTTAGAACAGTGTATGCAAGTTATTTCTCCTTATTTCCACCATAACTATTCAGAATCGACCATTATTCAAAGATACTGGGAAAATACATAAGTACATACATGCATTCATATTCGCATATCTAAAACTTTGCCTAAGAACTCATAGCTATTTATCCTTCGTATTAAAAGTTTATTTACTAAAAAAGATGTTTTATTAACTAATTTTTTATTCAAAGATTCTAAAGAGGCCTTCTCAGGTAAAGTTTTTCAACATAATTAATATTAGAAACTTGGGAAAGCTATGTATAGTAACAAAGAAAAGGCTAGCAAGCGCTGTAATATGATTTTATACTCGAAATAAAAGTAATACTACTTACTATAAAACTTATAAAATTTCACACGGAATTATGCATATAAATTAACTATAAATATTTACTTGCATATTTCAGGATCATGCCTGCCGCTCTGAGGGCGTTGATATGGCGCGTGATTTAGATTATAAATCTGCCGCTGCTTGGGTTGGTCATCCATATTTCGATGTAATCGATAATTCGACAAATTTTGAAACCAAAATGAATCGCCTAATTGAGGCCGTATGCCAAAAAGTTGGTATCGATATTGGTGATCGTCTACTTGCCACATCAAGAAAACTCAAATTTCTTGGTATGTATTTGCATTTTTTATGGTTAAGCTAATATTTGAACTTATTTTAATTTGTATTTGTTATTTGTTGGTTGTGACTTACAGTTGCTTCATTACCACCCGACTCTGAATTTCCACCGTTTCAAGACTTCGATGTTGTACATCACTACTTGCAATCCTCAGGACCAAAAGTACAAGCGCGTTTGCGCAAACGTGGCCAAAAGAATCATTGGAGCTACATCCATACAATACGCCGTCCCAATGTCCATGGACAGTCGCGCATCGAGGTGAAGACACAACTAACACATCGCGACTATATGAATTTGTTGGCGCAACGTGACGATGCACATTTCACCATCTACAAGAAGCGTCGTTGTTTCCTCATCAATAATCAATATTTCCAATTGGATATTTACAAAGAGCCAAGCCATCCACGGTAATTCGCAGCATGCGCACATTTAGTTTTGTTGTTTTTTTTTTGTTTGAATTTTTATAGTCTTAATACAAAATGTTCTGTATAATCTTTTTCAGTTGCAAAGGTCTAGTCCTCTTAGAGACCTATTCATCACACTCAGGTGATGCGCTTAAAAACTATATGCCAAAATTCTTGAATATCGTAAAAGAGGTCACCGGCGATCCAGCATATTCCATGTTCAATTTATCATTGCGTGAAGACTGGAGTACGACAAAGAAATTCTGGCACCCTTTGCCTGGTAAGGATGTCAGCAAATCTAATGAAATTAAATGTGAAGCCATTGTCGACAGTGACTAATGCCTTGTATATGATGAGTGCTTGCTTGTTTGCTTACCCGCCTAAATAACCTACTAAATATTAATATAGTATAAGTAAAACAAATAAATATGTATAGCACCGCTGTAGCATACCATGCGCTAATTAGTCGCTAATACTGGTAATTATGTATATAAATATGTATAGACATATACGTACATGGGTCTATGTGAATCTATAGTAGCTGCGTGACTATGTACTCGCATATAGAAGTGTATTGTAAAATAATGTAAATTTTAGTAAAATTTCTACTAAACAACTTTATGTACTGAGAGGAAGAGCTTAAACCTGACGCTTAACCTAAGTGAAACTAACTTTTTAGTATCGGTTATAATAATATAGTATACAGAAGATTAGTTTTCATCATCTGCTACGTACTTTTAAATTATTAACCAGTAAATGGAAAATGTATGTACATGTATACGTACATTTTATACGTTCAAGTTTGTGTCGGAATGTATTTTTATGTATCCAAATTATTACGGTTTGAAAGTCATTAACGCTGTGCGCTTGTTGACCGTAATCTCAACATTTCAATACCAGTACCTCTACCATAAGATAGGGGTGCGCAACAGCCAAAAACGTTTTTTTTTTTTTCTAATAGCATTCGACCTTCGACAGGCCAAGGCAATCCTCCGAGTGTATTTTTTCAATGAGAAAGGTTTCTATAAAAAATCATTTGACGTTCGGAGACGGCATAAAACTGCAGGTCACTCGCATCTAACAACATCAAGACGCACACTACTAGCCGATACAGAAGCTCGACCGTTTTCTCAAGTAGTTTTTATAAATTTACAAATTTTTTTTAGAAAAAAAAATTGCGTTTAAAGGGCAGTAAATTTTAAAACCTACTTGGGAAAGGGCCCTTAAAGTGCTATGATAACTGCGATGTCCACAGTTAACAACTGAAATCATTTTAAATATTATGGGAATAATTAAAAATATATTTAAACTAAAATCATTTTCCTATTAAGACGAATTTCGCCATTTAATTTTCATTACACCGATTTGAAATCGAGCGAAAAAATTTTAATTTCGCATATCGCAAACTTGCAATTCGAATATCATATTGATATTTTGAGTATACCTACGGTGACCACAAATATGGATTCAAAATGAAGGACTTTTTCAAAAATATGCCTACATATATTTACGTAGTATAAAAATATCGAAAGAGTATTTATGATTCTAAATTCTAAATACATTTTAAACTTTGAAAAGGAATCACGTTTTCTTCATCGATAGTAATCTTTTTTTATATGAATATTTATAAAAGTATAGTAAAACATATTATAATTACAATAGCTTACACGAAAAGTGAAAATCTTTAAAAGATTATTTTATAAGCAAATTTTGAGTCGTTCAAAACGAAAACAATACCCTTTTTTGTTTTTTGTACTTTTCGCAGTTATTTGTCAAAAATCGACGTCATGAATCGACGTAAACGACGAGTTACAAAGGTATTTATGTGCCCTTTACAAAAATATATAATTTGTGCAGATTGCGCTTCATAGCATTTCTAATCCGATTTTCATTATCTTTGGCTCAAATTTACTGTAATGATATATCTTCTTTATCGAATTTTTAAACTAATGAAAAAAAATAATCAAATAAAACTGCGTATTTGATTGAAAATCTCACTTTTTTCGACTGTGACGACAAAATGTAAATGGTCGCCTAAAGCACTAATAATTTTCATTGAAGTCGCCACAAGTTATATATTTTGGTAAGAGGCACATCAATACCCTTCGAGATGTAGGTCGCTTACGTTGATTGGGAGAAAGAAGAAAAGCTACGAAAAGTACCTAAAAATACTTTTTTGAAAAAATCCATCCATTGTCCGATAATTTTAAAATAACGAATAAAATGCGGGACAAATGCAGGACACTTGGAAAAAAGCAGTACATTTTCAGGTTTTTCAGGTTTGAAAAACTACGCAGGACCGACCTTTGAAAAACAGTACGGTCCTGCAAAAAAACAACGGATTGTCACCGTAACTATACCGAAGGAATCAACTGACCATTTTCTGTGTCGATGTACAGACTTGCAGTCTAGTCGACTGAAACAGCTATTGTCACGCTTATTCCTTATTCTTATGAAGATATCGAAGGTGGCAGGTATTTCAGCACGTTAATGCCTTTAATTAAATATGCTTTCTGCTACGTGAATGTGGCTCGTCCTGGCATTAACTCGCAGAGGGCACCTACAGTGAGCAACTGTCTCCGAGTGGAAGTTTCCGCGTACGGCTTCCTAATCTAGGCCTAACATTAAAAATAACTGTGTGAGAAATTTTAATGCTTTTACAACAACAACACTAAAAATAGTTATATTGTCATAACAAATTCAGATAAAATGGTCATTTAGATTTTGATATTGGTACTATTTTCGGAGTTTGTTTATAAATATGTATTTTTTTTTAACAAAAATGTTATCTTTATTCTGCACTCAGAAGGCATAAAAGTTAAAGTCGGGAGGTTGGTTTTAATTTATTGAACCATTCGGGGACTACGATTGCTTATAACACACTACACATTGAAAACTATTGGCATTGGCAATTTAATTCCACTAATCCTCTCTAATATTCCCAATCAAGTCTCATAAAAACCCTGAATTCCAAAATGTAATAAAACAAAGCACAAGTCTTTTATTTCCAAAGTATTGCAAATTAGAATGTCCAGCAATGTATCTTCACTGTAATGTTTTCGGAGGGTACTAGCTGTTACTGCCGATATAGGAGTATTACATATATGTTTTACGCCTAATTTTACCCCACTTAGCTAAGTCTTGAGCTTTTAATTTGTATGTCGCTTAATTATTTAAATAAATTGTTTTCTATGTTTTACTTACACTACATATTCTATTGCATGACAGAGTACCATTGTACATACACACATACATACATACACGCATACTTACATATGTATATATATTTTTCTGTTTGTTTCTTTATTTAATTATAGAAGAAGTCACAGCCACTAATGCCAGCAAATCAAAACAATCAAACGGCGTGTCGAATGCGCAATTGGTACTTAACGGTCATGCCAAGGGTTAATTATGTGTATGTAGCATGCTGTATGTCATTGAGAACACCCTTTTAAATAATTTTATAAACATAACAGATATTTATATAAATTTATAGTACATACTATCCAAATTCGATGTCATCGCTCACTCTCATATTTTGGAGGAATTCACATCAGATTTATTCATATGAATGTTTTTAATTACAATTGTTTAAGAATATACCTCCTATGTGCATCTAATTGTTTACACAGCACTTTATTGCTAAAATGATTTTCTAAAATGAACTCAGAAACACGAGCATTATTAACTAATTCAAAGCGCTTTACTTAAAATATATATTCCTACGTAATATACAACAAGGCTATGCAGTAGTGAATATTTCATTGTGGTTATATGTTTTGGAGACTTCCGCAAATTGCAAATTATGTACTTTACTTATTGACTCATAAAAATATTTTGAAAATTTTCACTTAAAACAAGGGCTTACTGTAAAAGAAAAATTATGAATAATTCTATTCTATATTTGTGGTACTTAAAAAACACTCAACTAATTTACACATTTTGTTTCATTTGTCAAACTTTTCATAGCTGCGAACTATAGTTTTATTGTAATTTTATGTATGTAGTTGTTGTAAGTTTTAGCTGATATCCAAGAACAGAGGAAGAAGAACTAAAACAAAGATAAAATTAAGTTGAAACGCCGAATAGCAAAAATGATGTCGGCATAATATTTAATGCTACTTTGCTTAAGAAAAATATTTATTAGAATTTGTGAAATATCAGCCATGCATGTGTTATACATATTAGCTCACCAATTTGTTGTATTTGGATATTTCAAGATATAATCTTGGGATAAATCAATAAATTGTTAGAAACTTTCATTAAAAAAAAAAAACAATTAAATTTATGCAAGAGTTTTCGATTTGGTAATTGATAGATAAAGCGTAGACCATCAAATAAATTATCGTTTTTTCTTATGATATTTTAATATTGTTTAAGATATACAAATGATTATTTCAATGGATGTACTATTGTATTTGTAACTTAAAAGGATAATAGTGTGAAATAATACCATTCATTGTTATATAATAAGTCACAAGCAAATATTAGAAAAAATGAATATACACATATTAAAACAAAAAGAAGATTAAGAAACCAAATTTAAAAATTATCTAAAACAAAACAAAAAATTTAAAATAAAATAACTAGATCACCGAGCTAAAAGAATTTCCGCATTTTTATTTGATTCAAAATGGTTGCAGTAATATTTGCCTATTACCTAATCAAATATTAATGAGCTTCATTGCGAGTGTCGTGTCGAATGCAAGTCGTTTTTCGAGAGTCGAGTCGTAACGAAAAGTGCATGGCATTACCTAAAAATTCAATTCGACTAGTGTATTAAAATGCGAAAACTTGGCAGCACTGGATAGTTTTCGACAATTATCGTCGTCTACGACAATATGCAATGCCAATGTTGTCGAGTCGTGCATTTTAGTCTAATTTACGACGTACGCAATGAGGCTGAATAAGAATATTCTCTGGAAACTAAATAAGCTGAAATAAGAAATAAATTATCTCAATCAAAATTTCCACGGCAATTACAAAATTGCAGTCAACAGCTTTCAATTGCCAGTTGCCATCGGCAATACCATTCCAGCTACTGAAAACGCAACTGAAGTTCGACATGAAGCTGTAAATGGGCAGGTTTAGAAGGCGCATCAGTTGAGCGCAACCGTTGCTAAAAAAAAATCAGTGGTCGTTATGTGTCTTCTGAACGACTTCATACATTAGCTGTCAAATTCAACTCTCAAAGGTACACACCAACATGTTGTCTTAAATGATCAGAAAAATATTACGATCATCTAACATGCGACTATTCAGTTGATCAGAAGTACGCAACAACGCGTTCAGAAGGTGCAATCGCACCAATATAAAACTTTTTCAATAGTGACGTGTTTACGTTCTTAAAAATATATCGAGCCCCAACCGCCAATATAACGTAAGCGCCATTTTTTTCAAAATTTTCTTTTCGGTGCAGAAATACATCTAGATGCCCGAGGAATATTTCTGCATCAAAAATAAAATTTACAAAACAAAATTTCGCTTACGTTATTTTGGCGGTTAGGGCTCGATATGTATGTACATATATTATTTATGAAAAAAATAAAATAAGTTTAATGCGGTAAAAATGAGCCGAAAGGTCGCGTTAAAAAAGTTAAAAGAAACTGTGTAAAGAAATTATAAATTTACTATGAATAGTGAAGTCCCTCTAAGACATCCATCGTCTCCTTCATTAGGAAAATAACTCTCAAGGGTTTGAGGAACTTAACCTTGGATGAGGCCAGCGTTGCCACAGAAGTGAAGTATCCGGGACTTACGACCTATGCTGACTTTGGCATCAGACCATCTGCCCATAGTCATCTCGATCGATAAACCAACAGACTTTGCTTCCGCGGATTGGAAAGGCTTCGCGGAATTTACTGAAAACACCTTCGCTGCGCTCCCCACACCATCAGGGATGTCAACGCGGAGATTCGGCAACTAGTGAACGTACATAAGCGGAAGAAATGGGAAGAGCATCTGAAGACCTGTAACTTCACCTTTGGTGTGAGTAAGCTTTGGTCAACCGTGAGGTCACTGTCCAATCCGACGAAGCACGATCACAGAGTCGAAATTTCTTTCGGCGACCATGCTTCGTCGGACCCGGATCGATGCGCGATTTTAGCCGGCAGTTCATACTGCATCCTCCGGTGGACAAAGCCAAGCGTCGAGTGACCAGAAGGCTGCACAAACTGCCAACAACTTGTGCCCCCTTGCTTTAACTTGCGGTGAAGTTCAGGTGGCCATCGGGAAGGCGAAAGCATCCAAAGCCATGGGTCCCCACGAAATATGCATGCTGATGCTGAAAAATTTGGGTCCTGCGGGCGTAGCGTACCTAACGGAGGTCCTCAATTTGTCAATGGCCACTCTAATCATCCCAGACATCTGGAAGGTGGGGAGAGTGGTCCCACTGCTCAAACCGGGGAAACCAGCCAACAAAGGAGATTCGTATTGACCGATAACACTCCTTTCCCCGGTAACGAAGACACTTGAGGCCTCGCTGCTCCCGTATTTCACGAGCCACCTGACCCCAGCGAAGCATCAGCATGGTTTCCGTAAAGTGCACAGTACAACAACAGCACTTACCGCCATAAACACTCAGATAACTCGTGGCCTCAACCGTAACCGTCCCTGTGAGAGAACGATTCTAGTAGCGTTGGACTTGTCAAAGGCTTTTGACACTGTCAGCCATTCCACGCTACTAGAAGATATAGAGGCTCCCTCTCTCCCACAGAGGCTCAAATGGTGGTCGGCAAATTATCTGAGTGGTCGGAACTCGTCGGTAATGTTTAGAGCGAAATCGGGCAAACTCAATAAAACGGGGTTCCACAGGGTGGTGTCCTTTCCCCCCTACGGTTCAACTTTTATATTTCAAAGCATCTCAACCACCAGAGGGGGTCTCGATTGTCTTTTACGCCGACGATTGCTCGATCATGGCGACTGGGAATGGAATTGATAACTTGTGTTCGAAAGTAAACGGGTATCTTTCCGAGCTTTCTCGCTTCCTCACTGCAAAGTGCCTAGCCCTCTCCCCTACGAAATCCTCTGCGACCTTTTTCACCATCTGGACGAAGGGGGTCAGGCTACCGCTGGGGATTCACGTCGATGATACACCAATTCCGACGGTGAATAACCCCAAAATACTCGGAGTAACATTCGACAGTCTGCTCTCCTTCTCTGCGCACGCAACCACTATTGTCAATAAAGTACAGAGCCGCAACAAGGTCCCCAAGTCGCTAGCCGGCAGTACTTGGGGCAAAGACAAAGAAACGTTGCTGGCAACATACAAGGCAATAGGCCGGCCGGTTTTAAACTACGCAGCACCAGTGTGGTCGCCGGGGACTAGTAGGTCGTAGTGGATGAAGCTACAGACAGCACAAAACACCACACTTAGGACAGCGACTGGATGCCTCCTGATGTCGCCAGAACACCACCTTCATGACGATGCGAAAATGCTCCCAGTCAAGCAGCATAACATAATGCTCTGCAAGCAGTTTCTGGTTGGGAGCCACAGATGTGGCCACCCAAACAGACAGCTGCTTGCAGAGGAGCCCCCGCCTAGGCACGTCAGGAGGCATCTCTACGAACTGGCGGACGAAATCCAGAGGTTCATTAAGCAGCCTCTGAACCCGTCAGCATACCGACAGGCCCTGAACGGCATTCACCACCGGACATCGACGAGACGGAGCTTAATCTGCCTCGGGAGACAAGAACCACAATAGCCCAGCTTCGCTCTGGCTACTGCAGCAGGTTAAACTCATACCTGAGCAGACTAAACGCGGATGTGCCAAATGAGTGGCCGGCATGCGGAGACACCCCTCACGACTCGAAACATCTCTTCGCATGCCCGGCAAATCCGACAACCCTAACGGCTTTGTCCCTATGGACCGACCCAATGGAGGCTGCACGCTTCTTAGGGCTGCCGTTAGTGGAACTAGACGACAACGACTGAGATATCAACCGATCTGGGCGGGGTTGTTGTAGCCACTACAACAACAACAACAACAACATCCGGGACTTATCCTGGACTCCAAACTCCCGTGGATGTACATGTTGAGGCGGCCACTTTCAAAACTACGAGAGCGCGGATGGTGTCTAAACGTCTATCGGACAAATCCTGGATGTGCACTCCAAGGATGCTAAGATGGATGTACACCATGATATTACAACCAATAGTAACCTAAGGGGTGGTGACTTGGGCTTCCAGTACTACTCTGGTAACAGTGAGGCGGACCCTCGCCAAAATTCAACGTATGGCATGTGTTTGCTTTCTAAAGAAACTAAAGCGTGTCTCTCCATAATAGACGTACTCCAGATTGGAATGCTGTATATATCAAATATCTATTATATCGATCTGTTATGGAGAGACATGTCAAGGCGAGCACACTACAGTCATATACAGACGGCTCGAGGACTCCTGAGGGTATGACCTCAGACTGAAACTTTCGCTTCCCCTGGGAACCTTTCCAAGCATCTTCCAAGCGGAAGTTCATCCCACCATTCCGTATGCAGAGATCAACCTTCGCAGGAATTATCGAAGTGAGAGGATCCAAATTTCTCGAGGTCAAATACTCAGTGGTCCTGCAATGAGTAAAGAAGCTAAATACCCTGGCGGAGAATAATGCGATCCAATTTTGGTGGGTATCAGGGCACATGGGAGTTGGGAGGAAATGAGGAAGTCGATTAGATAGCCAGAATACATGCTTGACCCCGATAGGACCTAAGCCTTTCGAATACGAAAGATGAATTAATTGACTAGATGGCGCAGATGACGAGATATCTGGAAAACCCTTGTTTATGGTCCGATATAAACAGTTAATATTTGGAATGTATATACTTGCATGAAAATAAATAACTCCAAAGAAACGTTGGCCGGATAGGTGGCGCACGAATAGAGATATATATTTGGAAACCCCCCGTTTATAGTCCGATTTGATTTATATTTTTTTAACGTATATTACTTAAATAAAAAGAAATTTCACAAAAAATTGTACCACTTATAAAGCTTGTCTTAAACACCTTAAATGCATTCTTTATTACTATACCCATTTTTAACGATATCTGTTTGAAACAAAACTGGTCAAAAGTCGAAAATGTACGGTTAACCTTGAAATGACATGTCGTTAACTGACCCAGTGTCTTTTCAACCTTGGTTGACTGCGACTGACGACTAATTGTTTATAGGCGGTTAGTCGAACGCGAGCGATTAATCAAACAACGTTTATTTGTTTACATTTTACTCTGCAATGTCATTTTTTTTTGATATTTTAGAAAAGTAGCAGCTTTAGAACTCCTGCAAAAGAAGCCCTAAATACGACCCTTCTGTGAATAGTGAAAGTAGCAGGCCTTCAATTTGTGCCATAAAAGAATGCAGAGTGAAGGCCTCTCGACCCTCGTGAAGGTCTTTTAGCTCTTGAAATTCTCTACCGGGACCAATTGTTTTGCCGAACATGCGCAACCTGAAGTAAGTAGAAGAGACTTTGGCAGCTAACGGCAACCGGTTTGCGCGTAAATAGGAAAATGTCTGACACTGGGTGTTTTCGAGCTACGTAATAATTCACCGCAATATTGCAGCTTTGTTGCTTTCTTGATATGTTGCTGATGTTCAACTGAAAATCTTTTGACATTTTTATGTTGCTTTTGATTTGACAGTGATGAACAACTGATTGTCAAAAAACGCTTGATGTAAGCAGGGATCGAATCGTCACATACGATATCGTATTACTCGTCACGTAAGAACATATTTTTCGGATTATGACATACGTGAACGTAGAGGCTATTGGGAAATGCAGCAAACCAAAGCATCAGTCCCTTTTATTTGTGAACTATAATTGATGGAAATGTGCAATATGCGCAAACTCGGTTAGATGCCGAATTGGAACTTAGTTGCACATATTGGGTTTTTTTCTAGCAATTAGGGTTTAGAAGTTTAGTTTGCTGCATTTCCGAATAGGGGGCTACTCTTCATCCCATTCAACTTATACGTTTGACATATCACGTAATTTTCTTTCGTATAGTTTTCGATCCGTGAACGGATGTTACGATTCGAGCCGTGAGTCGCCCAAATTTTCGCGTAGAACGCGATGCTCTTAATGTTTTAAATTGCGACGAATAATAACCAAATTTCAGTTTCCACTAACATTAAAATAAAACGCATTTTTTTAATATTTTACTCAATTAATTAAAATGTAGGCTTTTATTTTTAATGTTAATCTTGTTTCTTATCTCCATTTTGAATTTAACTTAGCGCAATTATATTCCTATTTCGAACGGCATAGTATGTTTTTTTATTTTTGTTTTTATTATTTTTTTTTTTGCATATTTTCCAATAAATCCGTTTAGCAATACAAAATAATTATATTCACAATAACTCTTAAATAAAAGTCAATACAAGTAGGAAAGAATGCTTATTTTTTAAATTACATTTTACATACTCCCATCATTATCGTATTGTGTAATTTGTTTTCTTGTTTTGAGTTGCGTATAATTTTTTACACAATTGTTGCTATTTACAAGCGAACATAAACAGAGTTTTCCGTAATAAGTGCTGAACATACCAGTTCTATGTATATAAAATATACTTACAGACTTAACATTAACGTTGTATTGATAAAAAATTTTATATTTAATTGTTATCATTAAACCCCAATAAATAGATTAATGCACTGATTTACCAACTATGCGTATTTTCCTACATACATATTTCATTTACATTAAAGTTTCGTAAGAAAAAAACCAGTTACCTACATTTTTACACAAACGTATGATTAAGTTATAAAGATATCCGTATTTATGCGAGCGTCATTTACAAATAAACCTTTAACTCATTAAAATCCTTACGAGCAAATATGTTTACCAAATTAAACAATATATAGGGAGCTGCTCTGACAGTTATGTCTCCACTTAAAAAAGCAGAAAAACACATCAGCAAATGGAACCTATGCTTAAGAAGCACAACTTACATAACTAACTATTAATTCAAACACTATGCGTTTGTGTATATTTATGGATTACCTCAGTTGTACCGAGCAGAGTAACAGTAAAAACTAATTACTGCAATTCAGATACATGTTATCTCTTCAAAAATAAATTAGTTTACAAAAATTAAAATTTTTGCATGGAAAATATGTGTGTGTATGTGTATGTATGCCTTAATGCCTAAACTCGTGTTTAATTGCAAACATTCAACATTTTGATTAATAATCCTAAACAAATGTATTTAAACCAATGTGGTCACCAACCAGCTTGCTCATTCGCTCACTTTGAGCGAGACGTCTTCCATGTTCTCATTTTTTTTTTTTTAATTTCTTTAGCTGCTATCGAAATATAATGGGACACAGTTGCGCGATTTTTTTTTTTTTTTTTTTTTTTTTTTTTTTTTTTTTGATTAATCCACAAGAACCCGACTGGCTAAGCGTCGACGCTGCTGATTGCCGCTCGCATACTTCTGACGAATTCAACTTTCTAGCTGCCGATTGTTGTTGCCCAAGCCACTATTGCTGCCAGCTGTGGACAATTTAGTTACATCCGTTGAAGATGTTAACACTTTTGTCGTAACCGCAACGCCACTCGCACTGCTATGAGTTGTGGGTGCTGATGATGTTGATACTGCAGCCGAGACCGAAACGTTGGATGGCGGCTGCACACTACTATTGCCGTGGGATGTTGTCGGCGCCATTGATGTTGCTGGCGTAGAGTCCGCTATCGGCGCGTTAGTACCGCCGCCGCTACCGCCACTGCCACTGGCACCGGCGACAATGCTGTTTGCGCCACCACTGCTGCCGCTGAAAGTCACTTTGTAACGATTGTAAACACGATATGGTGTGCGTTTCACATCGTTTTGTGGTATCACTTTTGTTTTCAAAGCCCAGTTTACACTACTGCTATTTGGCACTGTCTTGCCAAGCAACCAATCGGCGCATTGTTGTTGCAGTTGATCGCTTACATGTTCCGCCAACCACTTCTGTGTAAAACGTTGGAACAGTTTCTGTTTGCGCTGCGTTACGAACGAATGGGACTGCAGGGAATAAACGAAAACCAAAAATAAAACAGCAAAGTAAAAATGGGCGATAATAGAGGTGTTAGGGAGCATCCATCCGAAAATTAAGTGATACCATTGCTAAAGAAGTTTAACTTAACAATACATACACTAAATTACTCACCAGTTTTGCGCGCCGCACTGAGTCCCATTTGAACAGTTGGAGATTCTTGTTAATTGTGATCACTTGACGGCCGGATGAGTTGAACTTGATTTCGTCGCGGTCATTGACAAAATACTTCTCTGCGCCACTGCCCACCACTATGCTTCCCACGCGCTCTGGCGGTCGTTTGTTCCAGGTCCAGAGTGGTTCGCCGGCGCCTACAGTCGGTGGATTATTGTTTTTAGTTGATAATGAAGCGCTATCGGGTGTTGCGGCACCGCCGCTGCCAGCACTTCCACTCACAACACTGGATCGTAGCGCATCGGCCGTAGCGTTTGATGTGGATGCAGCAACAGATGCATTAGCTGTTGAAGTGGCTTTCAATTGCTGCAAACGCGCCTGTTGTTCGGCACGTAGGCAAGCCATGCGTTTGTTACGTTTAAGGAAACGAGCCTTGCGCGTGATGTGCGCATCCTATGAAAAAAAAAAATAGTAAAGAAGAAATACCAGGGATTAGTAGACATATTTTTACCGCTGCTTTAAATAGTTCAGTAAAGTAATTCTTGCAAACTGCTTAAATAGTTTCAATACAAATTTGGTATTTAGCGTTCAGTGAAGAATTAAAAAAAAAAAAGTGGTAGACAGAATGTCCGAGTTATAAAATTATAAATCACTGCGCATGCAAACAACTTAACTTTAAGCATGAAATGTAACTTAAAAGCAAATTTAAATGTAATGTTTCTACTAACGAGTAGCACACGAAATAATGTAACACACATATTTTTAAATAACATAAGGAAATAAGTTCGCGACGGATAGAAACCTTAAAATGAAATAAGTACCAGGTCAAACGAGATTTTTTTGCAAATATTTGTATCGTTTGCATTTGAAAAATTCACGTAACATCAAAACGAAATCAATAATGTTCATTATGTAGGGCTTAACAAATACGAAAGGCCGTCTTCAACAAAAACACTTTTAAATAAAAACTATTTGCTTCACGTAGCATCAGTTGAAAACAGCTCAGCTAAAGTTTTACCCGCCAGATACCCGCGATACGGCACATAGATATTCGTACTATGAATTGGAAAAGGGAATGGAAATACTTAAAAAAAAATATGTATCCGCTAGAGTCGTGGGGACAAGTCACGAATACAACAAGAAAAAAAAAATGACGGAGCCTTTATAAAGTGATGGGATAAGATGTTGGATTCATTAAAAAAATTGCAGAGAATGAATTTATGTATAAAAACTTTTATAACCCTTAAGGTAGCCTCAAACAGATGCGATACAAAAATTTACGATATGCGATCAATACATATGGGAGTGTTCAAACAGATGCGACATGGGCGATTCCAGCGAAAAGTCTACCGCGAAAAAATAAAATAAATTATTTATAGGCTGATTTGGCTGCTTTTTATAAAATGTATTATTGGTATATAAGCAGAAACATTTTTGCTAAAAAATGGTCTCGTTAGGTGGCGCCAGGGTCGAGATATGTTTTCTTCCCGTTAAAAATTATTTTAAGAACAATATTCACAAAACTTCTTCAATGGTAATTTTAGTAACGCAACGCCAAGTAACACCACGGCAGATAATTCAGCTGATTAAACATAAAGTAGAAAAGATTTCTACATTTAAACACTTGAAAAATGTATCTAAAACATTTCCAATATTACTACAAAAACGCGTATACAAATAGTCTTGTCCAGTTCGCAGAGTTTTGCAATTAAGTAATCGCAGTCAAAATCCACTTCTGTTTTTTGTAACGTAAGCGCCAATCTATTATTATTATTATTATTATTATCTTTAAATCGCTACTACCAACAATTTTATTTTTTTTACTGAATTAAATTGCTATGCAAATCTAGAAAACATTTTTAAATTTTTTTTGTAACATTTTGTCATACAAGGGTAACGTAACGCCAGATTGGAAATACCCATATACCGGAGCCACACGATGCGTTCACAAATTGTATCGCAGCAAGCACACAATTGATGGCACGATAGGAACGACTCGTTCGTTGTAGAGCTCTGAAATGGAATTAATAATTCAACTCGTCCATTGTTCCCCATATTATACGAATTCAAGTATCCGGAATAAAAGGGTTCCCATATAAATGATGAAGCACCGCAGTGTATCGTATCGCACCTATTTAGAGGGACTTGGCTTTTTATAGTTATCGCATCAAAAACGATATCGTATATCACCGCTAGCAACGCATATGTTGGCGGCCACCTTTATACTCAGTACTTCGAAAATTCTTTGAATCGAAAAAAATCAAGAAGCTAGAAAAATAAAAAAAAATCATAACCTACTGCAGCTCATAAAAGCTAGAACTACTTTAAAATTGAGCAAGTCGATTTTTTTCAAAAAATAAGCCCCGTCTTGCGTTTTTAAGCGGACATAAAATAAAAAATTCGTAGAAACGTTTTTATCTCTTGTGTATTAATAAAACAATGCACATTTTCGTAAAATAGTTGTAGTCACAATTCAGTTTCTGTGCATAGTAGTCATTGTTATGTAGGAAAAAATATTTGGTTATATTAACTTTAATAATATAACAATATTTTGGCGCTTACACTTTTGTTAAGTGTTTGGATGCCGCAAAAACGTCAAAAACGCTGCATTATATGGTTTTGGTTGAAGGATGAACCATATTTTTATACAAAAAAAAATAAAAATAACACAAAAATATCAAGTTTAAAAGCCTTGCAAATATTTAATAAAAACCACCATATACTCAGTTTTGCACTATAGTGTATTTGTGTATCCAGCTCAATGAGCCTACCTCATTGGCTCGTGAGTTAAGGGTAACTCAGGCCATTCGGCTGCCTCATAGCGTTCCATTAGTTTGAAATTATTGAATATAATCAAATTAATAAAAAAAAAAAGACACAAACTTTTCTGGCACAGAAAATAAAAAAATGTTCCATAAATAGACAGCTCACCCTAATGATAAACGATCTGGAAGTTGATATGATCCAGCTTTCCTCTGGCTTAGAGTTAACAATCGTGGTTCTTACTGAACCGATTTTTCATACCAACACGCAGACGCTTCACTCATTCTTAACGTAACGTTTGTTCTCTAGCAGAACGTTCCCTAGACTTTTGTTTTTATTTGATCCTTCTGGAAAACGTTATCGATACTTTCGTTCTTATTTTGTTCCCCTTGTGAACTTTCCTAAGAGTTTTGTCCGCATTTTGTTCTTTTTGACTTTTTGAGGCGTTCCCGAGTTTTTTCGTTATGAGTTTCAGTAAAACACGAGAGCATCAACTCAACGAGGAAAAGCCGTCAAAATTGTGTTACACAAAAAAAAAATCGTTATATAAAAGTTACTGTAGTTTTTAAACAAAACGGCCAAGTGCCTTAGTAATAGATTACTGGATTTGAGCTGCTTCGGCCGCTAAGTAACAACGTGCTTACATTCCATTACGTTTCCTTTACGTTACTTCATTAAGAACGGCATTTAAGCTATATTTTACTAGACAGCTTAATTTTAGCTTTAAGGGAGAAGCTCGGCCCAACCCAACACTAACATATATATAAGCGCCAACCTATTATTATTATTAGCTTAATTTTAGTCATTTTTTTTTTTAATTTTGCAGGAGTGGAAAAAATCTTCGTATAGCCATTTCCTTCAAGTTTTTCGCAAATCTTTGAATACAACGTGTTTAAAGCAAAACAACATACGAATAAGAAGGATTCGATCTTTATCAGCCCAATTCTGAATACTCCCGGGAATTTATTTCTCCCGAGAAATAAATCCTCCAATAATTAACTCCCAGGGAATTTTTGGGAGGAGGAAATTCGAACTTCGAAAGAGCTGTTTGACACTTTTTTGACAGCTCAACTCGACCATTTAAAATAAAAAAATCCTCGGGGAATTTTTATTCATGATAGGAGGAAAGGGAAAAGAGAAAAACTCCTGGGGAGTTTCTGTTCAGAATCGGCCTGTATTGAAGGCTTTCGTATTATTTTGGTTTTGTCGGATCTTCGGTGCCTTTTTTGGACTTAGCAAAAATGCCTTTCTTTTAATATAAACGAAAAAAAGAAAAAATAAAAAAACAAGTTTCTTAATATTTTTCAAAACAATGCATGCTTCCTATATCAAAACATGAGTTTTCATAACAGAGGTGAACTTAGCAACTTTTCACTCTAAGCTAGCTATATGACATCGTAAATAGACGATTCGTTGAGTCAGACCCCTTGGAAGGAATTCCAAGAAGTTGCAATTCTTTTACGGATTACCACCTCTGGACTTTCAGTGAATGGAAAGTTGTACTGATTTCTGATGAAACAGAGTTAAACAGGATTTTACCAGATATAAAAATATTCCAGCATGATAAGCGATAAGGCTATAAAAAATTCTCGCTCTTGTATTTGAGCCGGCTTCGTTGTAAACTAGCTGAACGCAACTGCTAGTCAGCAGTTAATAAACACAACACAACATAATCAATCACACAACACAAATTTCTTTTGAGGCGCCGCGGAGTACGCTTGGTATTTTTTAGTTTTGAATAAAATGTATTGCTTTTCATAAGCAACAAAATAAGCCAAAACAAAAGAAAATCATGGAATGGAGATTTCGTTTCTACCAAAAATGTTGCCTTTTGATTGCCGCTTTATCTTTTCGTGTTTCGATTCTAATTAAAGGCAAAGGGTGAGAAAATTGTATGTTCGTTTCTTAAAATGTCACACTCGTGTAAGGCAAAAAAAGGCACATTCTCTGCCCTGTGAAGTTTTGTCAAGGGAGATGGTTGCCCTGAAAATCATACGGTTGTTTAAAACGACAATATTTCAAAATGGCGCCTAAGATGACACAAAATGATGTGCTGCGTCTAATGGCATAAGTTCCGCCTATTCCACATATAATTGAAATGTTATACTCTCATACGTATTTTTGTTATTACTTCGCAAATAAATACGGATTTTTTAGGCATTTTGATCTGTCATTTATTTTTTTCGTGAACTTATAAGGAAACGCGCTTGAATTAAAGCACATCATTTCGAACAAGAAATCGTAATTTGTATTACACAATAAGCAACCAAAAAGTAAAAGGATGCATTTCTAATAAGTAAATTAACACACAGAGATATAAAGGTATTACAACAAAATAAAATAATAGACAAAGCAACAGTGTAACACACACACAGTAGAAAACAAAGAGAGCATCAAACATGCGCACACACAGCTCACAATGACGTCACAAATCGCTCAGATC